TTGATAAAATGCATGATTTTGATTTGATTTCTTATGTGAATTTTTACATGTTTAAATTATGTATTTTTCATATCTGTGGAATGATGGAACGTAGAAACATGCCTAAGATTCCTGAACATTAAATAGGGATTAGGTTTGGGTTTTAATAAATTTAAATAGACTTAATCATAATGATGCTTGCTATTTGAATGTTTTAAACAAACGAATGGATTTAATCTTTTAAAATATTTTAGCAATTGAGATTAAATGTGTAGGATGAATTGGATATGGAGAATCCTTATTTAACGGTATAATAAAATATCATCATATATAAGATTCAGTTTGTGTAGGACATATGATATAGGAAGTTTAAAGAAATAATAAGTCATTCCTGTTATGTGATAACTTGATATCATATTTATCATAGTTATTTATGGAATATTTGATGTATTTCCTTAATTGTTACATCAATTGTTGGATTGTGTGGTTTAATGCACCGGTATGGGACGGTGGCATTCTAGGGATGGATTAACTTATTAGTTAAGTCCTACCTATTTTATATAAGGGAATGGATTAACTAAAATGTTAAGTCCTACTTATATTTAAGTCAGGTCAGCTGAACAAGTTGAATGATTTATCGATGATTAATTTATTATATAAGGGAAATGGATTAACTAAAATGTTAAGTCCTACTTATATTCAAGTCAGGTCAGCTGAACAAGTTGAATGACTGATGGAGGATTAATTTATACTGGATAGGATGGTTACTAGATTATATATATATAAGTATGGTGCCATAATATGAGCTTGAGTTTCAGGATCAATGGTTAGGGCGCGTATATCGCCAGGGATGTGTAGCTAGATATAGTGTAGTTGTGTACCCTGGTAGGTCTAGGTACTCATGCCCACTATATGTGCGTTTTGCATATTGCCTACTATTCAGGTTGAGACAACCCTATAGTTTAGTGAGGTTCCTTTAGTGTGTATATATATATATATACGGACTACTAGTTACTGTTGGATTGACTAGGATGTATACGTGTATCGGATCTCTGCTTGGACTGTAGTAGAGTAGAACTTGTTTGTGGGCCTGACCCACTATTATTTTTCAGGTGTTCGTCACGAGTAGAGGTTGTTCGTGCTGAGCAGGGATCAGTCTACTTCATTCTTCCGATGCTACATAGGAGTTCCTTTATGATTCAGTTTCCTGTTTTAGATTACTGTCATTTGTTTAGTTTGGATTTTCTAGGGGTCCACACAATATGGATTCCCGAGTTGTATTATGGAGGATCAGTTGTATCAGAAGAGTTTATTAATTAATGGAAATATATTATGAGGTTTATTATTAGATTATCATTTTAGTTTCTTGTCAGCATTTTATTTATTCTTCTTTATTCTTTTGTACCCTGTGTTCGTTTATTATCAATTTGTTTTGATATCCTCGGGTATTCAGGCATGGGCCTGGCCAACCCGCATTCTGAAATCCGGGGGTATCACAGTCATTCTCATAGACGACGCCAACTGTTGAGGATGAAATTCGAGCAGTCCGATACGATACCGTTTTCCTGCAAGGAAGAGAGGAGAAGATCGATGAACCTTGACGGCACCGGTGTGGTGCCTGCCAAGAGCTCTCCGACGATCAAATTAGTTACGGAGTTTTAAAAAGAAGGCAGGGATTAATAATAGTTTTTACGTCATACCTTCTTTAATGGCTTGGTGCCCTATTTATGGCTGTCGATTGGAATCAAAATTGTTCCGCCGATGTCGATGGTTGATCTTATCTCCCGCTTGTGTGAAATCATGGGAGATTTGTTGCCAGATTTGTCGGGGATATGATTTAATCCTTTTGACCTCCTCCAGTTATAATAGGATTATTTTTACCTGTTGAACCACGTCAGATTTCATTATCTTTGATAATGAAATATAATCAATCTTATCGAGGGTAGGGTAGGTTTATATTTTTCCCTATCAGTTGCCCCCCATTCCCAAGCTTGCACGTTTAGCTTTGGGAATGTAATAAATAATAATAATAATAATTTTTTTTTTTCCAACCCCTGTGAACAGTCCCCGCGGGTACTATTCGCGTGAATAGTAACTCAGGATTTTTTTTTCAACTCCTGTGAACAGTACCCGCGGGTACTATTCATGTGAATGGTAACTAAGGGAATTTTTTTTTTTTTTTTTTAAATACCCCTGTGAACAGTACCCGCGGGCACTATTCACGTGAATAGTAACTCAGGAAATTTTATTTTATTTTATTTATTTATTTATTTTTTTTTTTTGGCACCCGAGGGAACAGTACTCTTCCTTTGATAAGGGAATAAATTGTATGAGTTTCACTCCTTTAATACGGGAATTGAACTTTACGAGTTTTACTCAGCTCGTCCCTTTAGTAAGGGAATTGAACTTTATGAGTTTTACTCAGCTCACTTCTTTAATAAATGATTTTTATTTACTATCCCTTATTGTAGGGGGATATTAATTACGGGATTCATCCAACCCGGGTCCTTGTAATATAGGATATTCATTTATTATCCCTTATATTACGGGGATATGGATTACGGGATTCATTCAGCCCGGGTCCTGATAATACAAGATACTTATCCTTATAGTCCGGGGATATGGATGACGGGATTCATTCAGCCCGGGTCCTTGTAATACAGGACACTCATTTACTATTCCCTTATAGTGCGGGGATACGGATTACGGGATTCACTCAGCCCGGGTCGGACACTCATTTACTATCCCTTATAGTACAGGGATACGGATTACAGGATTCACTCAGTCCGGGTCCTTATACTACGGGACACTCATTTATTATCCCTTATAGTATGGGGATATTACACGTATAAACTAAAAGGAATTTTATTAAAGACCATCATTGCCTAAAGGCTTATTAAAAACAAAAAAACATGTGATGGAGCTACCCTCCATTTAAAATGATTAACTAAGATGCCCCCAGTCTTTATTGTGAATGACTTGATAAAGCTAATTCCAGCCGTGAGACAATTTCTAGTCGGTATACTCATCTGAGTCCTTCTCATGATATGTGCTGTCGCTCTGGCTGAAGAACGATTTCTTATATTTAGTATTATTTTCATCCCTGGCGAGAGGGGCTGGCCTCTTCTTGTCCTCTCCTTTCTTCCTTGCACTCATGGTGTCTTCAGCGTTGATGTGTTTTTGCGCTCTGACCAGCAACTCTATCATGCTGGTGGGAGGTTCTTTTGATAAGGAGAACAAGAATCTGGAGGTTTGGAGTCCTCTTATGAAAGCGGTCAAAGCTACCTTGTCGTCCGCCTCTTCTACCTGCAACATCTCTGCGTTGAATCGGGTGATGTATTCCCGAATCGACTCTTCCTTTTGTTGCTCCACGGTAAACAGGTAGGTAGCCGGCCTCCTATGCCTCTGACCTGCAATGAAGTGGCTCACAAACTGCTTACTCAATTCTTCAAATGTGTTGATGGTTCCTGGCTTCAACTTGTTGAACCAAACTCTCGCTAATCCCTTAAGTGTAGTGGGAAAAGCTTGGCACATGATTTCATCTGGCACAGTATGTAAATGCATAAGAGCTTGAAAAGTTTCCAGGTGATCGAAGGGATCTTTGGTCCCATCGAAGCTTTCGAACGAGGGCATCCTGAACTTGCTAGGTAGTGGACATTTCATAACGGCGGGGCTGAAAAGCAGGTTGGTCCTTTGTACCTGGTCATTTACGGCTGCATGACCTTTCCCTTTCATAGCTTGCATTACATCTTCCATTTTCCCCTTGAGATCCTTGATCTGCAAGTCGATATGGGTAACTTTCTTTGTCTTTTTCTTAAGACAGAAGGCTATGCTTTCAGGAGGTCGGGAACTCCGTGGGAGAGATGGGTGAACCACCTTTCTAAGTCGGGTTCCGACCTGGCTTTGTTCGACTTCAATCTCATTTTTGGGGGAATGATTATCCTTCTCTTTAAGATTCCCATTACCTCCGTTTGGACTTGAGAGATCTTGTCCTGGAAAGTTTTGTTAAACTGGTGGAACAAGTGTTGCAAGAGGAATGCATTTTGTTGGATCAACTGGTTCATACCCTGACTCAGAGTTTGAACCTGCAGTTCCAACGCTGCAAGCCGTGCCTGGTCGTTTGGGACGTCCAGGTTTTCACCCGACTCTACCCTTTGACCAGATCCCTGTGACGGTGTTCCTTCGGTAACCATACCAGACTGCAAACTTATATACCCAACGAGTAATTAATTGATTCAAGGGAATCGTCGTTCCCACAAACGGCGCCAACTGTTGAGGCTGAAATTCGCGCAGTCCGATACGATACCGTTTTCCTGCAAGGAAGAGTGGAGCAAGGAAGAGAGGAGAAGATCGATGAACCTTGACGGCACCGGTGTGGTGCTTGCCAAGAGCTCTCTGACGATCAAATTAGTCACGGAGGTTTAAAAAGAAGGCAGAGATTAATAATAGTTTTTACGTCATACCTTCTTTAATGGCTTGGTGCCCTATTTATGGCTGTCGATTGGAATCAAAATTGTTCCGCCGATGTCGATGGTTGATCTTATCTCCTGCTTGTGTGAAATCATAGGAGATTTGTTGCCAGATTTGTCGGGATATAATTTAATCCTTTTGACCTCCTCCAGTTATAATAAGATTATTCTTACCTGTTGAACTACGTCAGATTTCATTATCTTTGATAATGAAATCTAATCAATCTTATCGAGAGTAGGGTAGGTTTATATTTTTCCCTATCAGTTTGAATGGAGGGAATTGAAGGGATCGTGAATGAAAGGAAATGACATGTTGGAAAAAAGTTAATTGCTTTTGGATGAGTTCAAATAATAATAAATAAATAAAAGAAAGAATAGGCTCCTTATTCATCCTGTTCTAATATTTTTATAATTCTAAAACTCCTCTCAATAATTTTTTAAAAAAATTATTAATCTACTCATATCTTATATATTTAAAATAGTACATAATAATTTAATTAGTATTTGTTTTTTCAATTACAATAAAAATTATTGCTACGTAGTATCTTTTATTTTCTCTTCTCTGTAACTAAACTAAGCCTTAAAAAAACCTCTACCGCTCGTCTCTCTCTCTCTCTCTCTCTCCCCAAAACCCTAGATGTAAGAATGGCATCAAGAGATCTCATCACAAGCCACTCGAAGCTCCTCTCTCGAATGGCTGTTCGTTCCCTTCGCACCTTCGCTTATTCCGACTCCAATTCCGAATCATATATTCCAACTAACAATTCGGATTCGGACTCGTGCTCCAAACAACTTCCTCACGCTGAAGGTAAGAAAAACAGAGCATTCAATCGATTCCTAAAAGAAGGACCAGCATATCCCTGCAAAGATGATGATCAACACTTGATCAATGTAATTATTTGACTTGAATAAGATTGCCCTTTGCTGCGTTCTTCGCATAGTATATATAACAATTTTTTGTATTTTTTTTTCTTCATAGTGTTGTGGAAGACTTTTGGTTTACCTTTAAATTTGGTTTGGGCTTGAATTTGGATATTCTGTAGGAGTTCAAATTCAAATGGAAATTACATCTTCATCTGTCATATCATATTTGGCTGACTAATTCTTGCATTGTTAGCCGCAAATGATGATGAGGAACACTTGCGACAGCCGGCAATGGTTTATAAGCTTAGAGCCTGATGCAGTTAGAGATGTTGTGAGTAATACCTTTTTTACTAATGAAGCTGGTGATGCAATCAACGGTGAGGGCCCAGGTAAGTGTGTTTATGATGCATGTTCCCTCATTTTTCATAACTTTTCCATTCGAATGATATAATTTTGTTACAAGTTATGTGATCCAAAAGCTCTATTTATAGCTTATGAGCTTAGAGCCTGATGCAGTTGTATATTTTCATTGTTTTAACCTCTACTTCTCTGTTCATTTGCATTATCCTCGTAATATGGTGCACAATTTTTTTTTTTTTTTTTTTTTTTTTTTTTAATATTTGTCATTTTAAAAAAAAAAAAAAAAAAAAAAATCCATTTTGAATTTGGGTAGGAGCATCCTATAGATTGATACCCCATATTTAAAGAGATAAAAGGAAAAAGAAAAATATGGAGGGGGGAATTTGTAAATCTTATATCTAGGTATCCTAGTGGGATTCAAATGAATACGTAAAACATGGATATTATTTGTTCGGAGATTCGGAGATTTGGTATGTTCAATCTATAGTTGTTACATAACAGTACTTACATTTTTCACAAAATTCATCTTCGATTCTTAATTAGTTATGACCAAACCTGGACTGAGAACAAAACTCAAGTCATGGTCATGATAAGAGCATGAATTTGAGGTTGCAGTTTACAATTATGAAAAAATTGAACCAGAAAGCAATGCAAATATTAGTTGAAGTTACATTTCTTATCCATTATTGAAGTGCTAATGCTGCTGCTTCTTATTCTTCTTCAATTTTTTTTTTTTTTTTTTGGTGATAACTAACATATCATAGAATAGCGCTTGAACGCATCCCAAATACAAATCTCACAGCCAAAACAATATGCTATTTCCTCAAACTATCCTTAAAAATCATCGTATCCTCTGCAAATTTATAATTTCAACCATTTACAGTAACAACTAACAAAATAAGAATAGAGAATTTGAGTGCCCAAATAGGAGTCTCCTCCCCATCAAAAGATCCCCTATTACTCTCTCTCCCAAATACCCGACCACGAGCAAAGAGGAGCAACCATCCAAGCATCTCGAGTTTGCTTCCTCATTGTACATCCTCTCCAAGCTGTAAGCATGCTTTAGGTAGAATTAGGCATGACCAAAGAAACACCAAAGCAGACAAGAATAAAGCCCCATTCCAGTCACCGGGCAATGCAAGAGTAGATGGTTTACCGACTCTCATCCATCTTACGCATACAACACCAATTGACGATCAGATACGCAGCCTACGCCTTCTCCGGAGGTTATCTATTGTCAGAATCCTCCATAAAGTTCTTCACCCAAAGAAAGCTACCTTTAAAGGGGTTTTGGTGTGCCAAATTGCCTTCCAAGGAAAAAGGCAATCCCTCCACGTTCAATAATCACTTATAAAGGGCGAACCTCAAAAGTCAAATCTCCAATGAGAAGCCACTCCCATGCCCACTCATCCTCCTCCCCACTACCTATCGACTGATTGTACAACATCCCCTGGAGCTCAACAGAGTCCTCCACCTTCCAATCTTGGGATGGTCTTATGAATTGTGTTATACAAAATCAGTCTCCTGTTATGAAGGCAATAGCAATCGGCTATTGCAGGAAGTTTATGTGCTGCAATCCGAAACAGTCTCAGAAAAACCACCGGAATGTGAGTGCATGCATAAGATGCCCAGTGAGTGTTAAAGAAGAAATAAAAGAGGACATTAGAAAGAAATAAAAGAAGAAAAAGAGCAAATGAATTTGTTCCGAATGATGATATTAATATCATTCATGGAGAGGATAAGGAAAGGTCAAATTGCAATCATTTATTGCTATAATTCCAGAACATCAGTTCCATGCTTGTCGTTGCTAGTTTTAAAAAATGAAGAAAAAAGTCCGTAATGAAAGCATATTGCCCAGAGTTTGAAATGGTTTTGAAGATCTAATTCAGTTTGAATTTTTGCATTGTGTTTAGGTATACACCCTGCCTAATTGTACAGCGTGGCTATGCCACACAGGCGACACCCGAGCGGTAAGGACTTCACATGATGACTACTACGTGGCATGAGGCAAGTGGAGTGCTAGTGTATTCCAGCTTAGTGTAGAGAAATATACAGTATTGTAGAGAGAGTCGGAAGATTTTAGAATATTGGAGAACATGTAAATATGTAGAGAACTAGAGAAGAGAAGATTCTAGATGAGTAGGGAATTTTGTTGAGTTTGTAAATACGTAAAATATGTATGAAGTTAAAGAGAGTGGTGAGGAGGCCTATAAATAGATGACTAGTGTCATATGTAACCAACAAGTCCTAGAGTGTGAGTTAAGAGCCAAGTGTCATTTGTAACCAAGTTCTAGAGTGTGAGTTGAGAGCTAAATAGAGAACTTGAGCTAGCCTTGTACAAAGCATTCTTTGTAGTAATAGAAGTGTTCATTCCTTGTACAAAGCATTCCTATACAATATGATTAACTGGTTTATAATTACATGTTTAAGCAGCAAATTTATGTTTTGGAGAGTTGTCCGATTAATTTACCAAGAGACGGTATATTTGCATGTATTTGGCGTCCGCCACCTGTTGGTTGGCACAAGTTAAACGTCTCTGGGTTTTTTAAGGAAAATCTTGGTGGGACTAAAGAAGCTTCTTGTGGAGAAGTATTCCGAGATTGTAAGGGAATGATTTTGGAAATTTCCATAAGCCACTTCCTGATGCAACGTCTAGAGATGAAGTATTCTTACTTGGAGTGCATCATGGGATTGATGAAATTCTCCGAAGTAAATCAGAAGTAAAGGAAATGATATTTGAGATTGACCATAAAACAATTGTCAAGGTGCTAAATGATGAGAAGCGTATACCAGTGGAGTATTTAGAACTTTTTAATTACGCTTTTTGTATAAAGTTTGGGTTTATTCTTTAAATTTAGATTTCTGTTTTCAATTATATTGATATAAAAACTATTGTTTTGCATAAAAATTATTGATATGTTGAAAATTTTTGATGTTTATCACATAAAGTTTCTACATCCTCAAGGAAATGCTATAGCTAATAGAGTTGCGTATATAGCTTCACGTTTGACCTTGGGAGTTGGGACAAAGTTTTCCGAAAGGCAAAAAAGGTTTTGAGACACAAGTCATGTGTGATCAATTGAAGATTCCACGACATGAGATCTATCCGAAAAAAGGAATTGAAGCTGAAGAATCATCGAATAACGAATCATCCAATGGCGAATCGTCTGATGAGGAATTGTCTTTAGACAAATCTGAAGTCAGGTACTTTTACTTTACTTTTTAAAATGTATTTTAAATTCCTGAAAAGAAAAAGTTATTAGGCGTGATCTTTTGTTGTTCACATGGCATTGAAAACAAAAATAAATAATAGGGGGAAATTTAAATGGGCTCTATTTCATTAGTATCAAAGTAATCCTAGTAAGTTTGTGTTTTCTATATATAATAAACTCTACATAATGACAATTACACTTTTTTCTGCTATTTTTTCTAGGTTTTAGGGGCAACATGGTATTTGCTGTCAGCTGACGTGCTGGAAATCATACTGCAAGAGGGATTGCAAAAAAGATTCTGGCCCTACAAAATGCCGCCTTAATTATTTGGAATGTGATGCTCTTGACCATGAGGATTGCAAGAATTGTGCAAATTGTAGAAATTTTATTAAGGGTTGGATCCCGAGAATGTTATCAAGTACGTAATATTTAAAAAAGCAGTGGTCTCCCCAAAGTTTCTTGAAAAGTAAATTTTTTATTGTTTGTGATTGGGTTTCCAAAAATTTAGGAATGTTTTATCCAATGGGTATCACTTGCATCCACAAACACTTCGTTGTTTTTATTTCATTACTATTACTAAATATTAGCGTCAGTTCTCTGTGGATTCTGTAAACATTTTATTCTAATGGGGCTCAACCCATAATTGAAATCTTAGTGCTTAGAGATAAAAATGGAAGAATATTAACAAACCAACTTGGTGAGATTGATTTTTCAATCCTTGAAGCTGGTCTAATAATCTCTCTCATTACCTGTTCCAAAACCTATATAAATTTGTTATACATATAAGCACAATGAGTTGCATGGACCATTTGTTCCGGTGAGAAGACCGAGCATCAACGACCCAATGGTAGTGACCAAACCAGACGGTGAAGATGAAGAACTTTGAATTCCGTCAAGAAAAAGATGAAGAGCTTCAGTGACCCATCATCTCCGGCGAGTTGCGGACCCTTGCCCAGATCAAGTGTCCATTATTACACAATGGTCAAGTCAATATTAATGGGTGGTCATGGTTTGTCACTTCTATAGCTCTTATGAAAAAAAAAAAAAAAAAATTATTCAATGTCCAAATTTAGAATTAATGAATTATAAGTTTTCAAGGTGATATGTAATTAATGTATTGTTTTCTTTTAAAATTATTAATTTGTCTTAGTTTAAGGGCTAGTTTGGTATGAAGAAATGAAATAAGGTAGGAATGAAATGAACTAGGGAATGAAATGAGAACCCATTCATTCATTTGGTCATGACTTAAGAAGGAAAATTAAACGTAAATATATATTTTCGATGTATATTTGGAAATTAAAGAAGAAATATCAAGAAAAAATTGACTTTTGTTGGATCTCCTAAGTAAAGCCATTTTTAATGTTATTTTGGGCGAATTACAAAAAAAAACCCTTGACTATTACCCATTTGTAAGAAACCCCATTGTGAATGTTTTTGGCAAGAAACTCCCCTCAACTATGAGAAGGGGGTGATTTAACTTACCTCCGTTTAACAATCTGAATTTTTTCTGAACAAATTACCCTTACATTTGGGTTAGTAGCTTCAGTTGGGTCTTCACCAAAAAAATAAAAAAATCTCCCACACTTTCTAATAACTGTAAGAAAAAAAGAGAGCAATATATATTTACCACCCATTAATCAACCAAATGGAGCGCAGTTCAATGACCTAGCTTAAAAAACAATATATCCCTTAGAGAGAGAGAGTGCTTCGGAGTTTTTTGCAAGCAGCATACTGGAGATTCCTGTGTGTTCATTTTCGTCGCTGTCATGAAACAGGAAACCAAAAAAAAAAAATAGTATCAAATAGTAACACACAGGGTTTGTTGACTTGAATCACAATAACAAATTTATGAAATTTATGAACTTCAATATAACATTATGGATTTTATGTGTAAAACTTGCATAGTGTTTCTACTAAATCTATTTATTACAAAAGTTAAAGTGAAATCATGGAAATGTGATCAATATATGATGAGTTTGAAACAAGCTTGAGATGCACAGAACAAAATTACACATCGAGTGTCTTGTGTTGCGAGACTGTTGTGGCCTTTCCTCTCTATTGGCAAACCATTGAACTGTTCTTCTTGCAATTGGCAACCAAAGCCTCCTCAATCTTTCCTCCTTGACATTATTTTCAGGAAGAGAAGTGTCTCTATTACTATTTCTCATGCCCAACTCTGTGAATCTTGGATGAACTGTTATATCTGACATCGATCTGTGTGTGTTGGGATTCAAAAATCTTGATGTTTGACTTTGATATATTTTGGACTCCAAAGTGTTAGGAAGATCTGAATCAGTTTGGTTGATTTTATTGACCCTGCTCTCAAACACTCTCTCCCTCTCCATCTCCTCCTTGATCTTCAAAATTTCTGTCTCTTCAACCCCACTTGGTGTCGCGGATTGATCATTATTTACATCCAAGGAAGAGAATCTATTGCTTGACATAGCATTAAGGATCTCCGAATTCAGGAGCATGAGGTCAGAAGAACTCACACTGCTCCATCTATTCTTGAGGACCACATCAGACATAATGATCCTGTGATTGAACTTATGTAGAGCTTTTTCATTTTCGTCGCTGTCACAATCTACTTGGATGGGAAATTCTTCTTCTCTTTCTTACCCTTTTCAGATTTCCTAAAGCTGCTTCCAATGCTAAATCTCGAAGAACCATGATGGTCTTCCTCTCTCTGGACAAAAAGCTCCATGGTTGAGTACACGAAGTATGTAAGGTCATCAGCACTGACCTTAACCCTGCAAAGAGGACAGCTTGAGTGCTTCTCCAGCCATTGTCTTCGAACTTGGATATGTAAGGGTAACTTGGTCAGAAAAAATTGCCTCACAAAATTGTTAAATGGAGGTAAGTTAAATCACCCCCTCCTCATAGTTGAGGGGATTTCTTGCCAAAAACATTTACAAGGGAAATTTCTTACAAATGGGTAATAGTCAAAGGGTTTTTTTTGCAATTCGCCCTATTATTTTTGCTCCGTACTTTTTTTAAGTGATCCTCTTGTTGGAAATTGAATGATTTTGATGAAATGACTATTCCAAGAAAGGAGGGGAATGAATATTCCATCTTTAAAATTACTTTGTGAATGAAATTAAAAGCATTGCATTCCACTTTATAGGGAAAAGTGCACAAAAAACCCCTGTACTATGGAAAAATCTACAACTAACCCCTTGAACTACCAAAAATGCAAGAAACCCCCCTGAACTATGCAAAAAAGTTACAGATCACCCCATCCGGTGACCAGCCGTCCAGTAATGAGCACGTGAGAATCACGCGACGAACAAACTGAGTTTTTTGGCCAATAATGCCCTTCCATATATAAAAATACCAAATTGTCCTCTAACCACCACCACCACCGTCTACGACCACCAACATAACCACCACGAAACCCCCCTGAACTCATGCCAAAACACACCGTTAAACCAAATCAAACCCACCACCATCACTACCACCTCCATCGGCATCTCAACGGCACACCATTAAAACTAGTACACAAACCGACTACCACCCCAATCCCGCCACCCATCTCTGCAAACCCAAAACCACCACCGCACATCACCCTATTCCAGTAACCAAATGACACATCAAACCCATAACCACCACCACGTTCAACCAAAAGCATCACCGCTCCTCCACCCAAAACCTCCACAATCACCACTCATCCCCATCACAAAGCCAACACCAATTGGAATATATATATATATAGTTTGGCTTTGGTTGTATCATCAGCTTCGGCTCTGATTCTCTCTCTCTCTCTCTCTGTGCAGAAAAATGAGGCCCAAAGACAGGTCGCTGTGGATAATTGAGGGTAATGTTGTCTTTTGGCTTTTCCAGCACCCTATTGTTAGTTCAAAGGGGTTAAATGCAACAATTTGTTAGTTCAAGGAGGTTTTATGTAGTTCAACGGAATTAGTTGCAAAACCCAATAGTACAGAAGGATTTTTTGCACTTTTCCCTGCTTTATATTATATAAGGGGAAAAGTCTGAAAAACATCCCTATAGTTTTAAATTTGTGCGAATTACACCCCCATAATTTAATTTGGGTCAGAATTCCGATAAAAAATAGATATTAGTTGGTCATGTGCATGGTACATAACCATTTTAAACCCTTTATTCCCAAAATTACCCTTCTAATATTTCTTTAGTACCCTTCATCATATATATTTATGATTGTACTGATTTTTCCTGAAGTATGATTCAATTGATTTTCCTTTTGATTAATTTATTAATTTGTTATTAATATATTATATATAAAAAAATGTATTTTTTCAGGGTAAAAATTTGTAAATCGAGTATAATAAATTTCATTATAAATAGTTAAGTTTCATATTAATGATTCCTTACTTTAATACAACAGGTTTTTTTTTTTTTTTTTTTTTTTTTTTTTTTTTTCATAATTGATACTCACACACGCATGCCACTAGGGGTGTTCAAAAAATCCAGTAAACCGAAAACCGGACCGGGCCGTACTGAATTGGGCAGTTTGGGCTAGTTGTATAGCCGTTTGGGCTAGTTGTATAGCGGTTTGGTCCAGTCCTGGGCCCAAAATTATGGAACCGTAATTTTTCGGTCCGGTCTTGGTTTAGGGTCGTGCTGGACCAGACCAGCTCGAACCGAACCGTTATTATGTTATTCTTTATGTATATACATAAAATCATATCCTAAACCTAAATCAAGTAAAGTTCTCACGTGCCCCATTTCTTTCTTTTATTCTTTAAATTTCTTAATTTCTTTAAAAATAAGTCAAATTTCTCTTTTCAAATATATCTCAATTTTCTTTCCTTTATTTCTTCTTAAAATTCTTCTCTTTTTTTTCTTTTTTCTTTTTTTTTTTTTTTTGCGTGTTATATCAATGTTGGTTGATTTTTTAGGAAAAAAAAAAAAAACTTTGCTCCCTTTAAATTAAAATAAAATAAAAAGAAAATCTACCGAAACCGACAAACCGAACCGAGCCGAACCGGTTTTTCGCAGTTTGGTTTGGTTTGGTTCAAAATAGTGGAACCGTTATAAATAGTTTAGTCTCAAAATACAATCAATCTGGTCCAAACCGGACCGTGTGCACCCCTAGATGCCTCTTTGGAGGCTAGAATTCTTGACATTCCTCTGAAAAGTAAGGGCCAATACTACTAGGCCCGTTGGTAATACAATAGGATTCTTAATAGGCATACGCAAACCCAAATGATTTAAACCTATAATAAACTCACACTAATTCCATTTTTAAGCTTATACCCTTACTATTGTAAACATTGACACTCCTTAATTTGTCAAAATAAATATTAATAATAGATTTTTATTTTAATACAATTTAGGGTACTAATCAAATATATAATTATATAATCTTATTAAAAAAAATTAAAATATTATTAACTACAATATTGTATATTCCTTACTTTTTTTTTTTTTTTTTGAATTATATTACACTCCACTAACATTGCACGTGCGCTTTACTGGTGTGATAATAAATTCATTCTATAAGGGTATGATAATATTGGGACATCCTAATTCTAAAATTAATACTTTAACAAATTCTACCAAAAATTGAGTGATTCAAGCTAAAGTAACAATACAATTAATAAAAAGATATGAAAAGGCATAAAATGTCATAATTTATTATTTTTTAGAATCAAGGCATAAAATGTCATAATTTATTATTTTTTAGAATCAAGGCATAAAATGTCAGAATTTGTTCCTCCTATTTATTATCGTGGTCATAAATCATAAATAATTAATTGAAGAAAAAAACATAAATTTCAATTATTCATCCTCAGTTAGGCATAAAATGTCATAATTTATTACTTTTCAGTACATAAAATGTCAGAATTTGTTCCTCCTATTTATTATCTGCGTCATAAATCATAAATAATTAATTGAAGAAAAATAAATAAATTTTAATTATTCATCCTTAGGCATAAAATGTCATAATTTATTATTTTATTTCTCAAATAGTCCAATGAAAATTACTAATTCATGATTATATGCAAGTAACCTTTATGCTAGACTCCAAATACAATCAATTTTAGTCTACGGTTAAGTAAATGAAATTAACAAACTGGAACATGCATTTAAAATTGTTTAAATATTTTATTGAGTTAGTATGAACATCAAACAAATTTAACAATTGAAAACATAGAGTTACAAGACTAACTTACTAAAGCTTCCTCTCAGCCAAAGTTGAGAGATTAGAACTCAAATAAATAATAAAATAACAACTATAAAACACGGCATCATGAGTAGAAGAAGGATCTTCTGTATTTTATTTGTCACTTGCATAAGCCTCCCAGCTTTGCTTCTTAAGAAAATGCACGGCCTTTAGTGCCCTTATAACAGCTTCCATTTACAATTCAAACAGTGGCCAAGTCAACCCCCAGTGCAATCATGAGTCCATTGACTACAGTAAGACAGTATAATTTTCATTATCCATAAAGATCCAATCCAAACAGGTAATAATTCAATCACCAAAAATTCCATATGCACACTAATCAAATCAAAATCAAAACATATTGTAGAGGTAATTATTTGTAAAAGCTGAAGATAGGGCAAGAGGATATGCCAAAGTTGAGTTGTCGATCAACAAATGAAACTCAAGGAATAAATTTGAAATGAATAGACAAAAATTCAAAAGGCAGGAAAAGCAATCATCAGTACCTTATTTGCCAATCATATGCAAGTTATACTCTTCTTGATTGCTAATGCCAAGGAGGCAAACTGATTTCTTGATAGAAGATATGCCGCAGATACTCTCATTGCTGGGGGTCTACCAGTTCTCGAATATTTAACACCTATGGGAATAGGATGCGTCTTTTTTTTATCCATGAGTGGGAATGTAAAGTATGACCGTGATGAAGGCATAAAAACAAGGGGCCCATATTGGATGAATGTTCTAATAGTTTTACATGTGTCTGAACTCTGTTCAAAAATACAGAAAAAGCATACTTGTTAAGGCTCATGGTATACACTAAAGTGCCAAAGGTCTCCTGGAGCACAAGCGCAAGGCACAATATAAGGCACAAGACTGATCAAAGGCGCATGTATGATAATGATGCATATTAAAGATTAATTTAATAAAAATTATTAAACTATGCAACACATACTAGTCAATATCAAAATAAAGAAATCTTTCCAACATTTCAATGATGTGCTTAAATCATATCAAAATAATAATTCTCTAAAAATGGGATTTTTGACCTATCAAGCTAAGAGGATCCAGTAAATTGATGTTGCATAAATCATTTCTTAGGCGTATACATTTAGTAAATTAGATGTGATTACAAACGTAAAACAATAAAAAAGCTATGATCAAGTAAACATTAAACATATATAATCATGTTTATTTAGAATCAAAATGAATGCAATTAACGTAATAAGTCAACCATAAATCTATGAATTTGTCAAATATATCATAAAGTCAAACAATATGATCCATTAAATATGATCATGATATTATACAAAACATTTTAATTTAATGGTCATTAAATAAAGGACGTAAAATGCGTGAGTCTGGGGGCTTGGGCTTGGGCTTGGGCTTGGGCTTGGCCTTTAGTAGGTTGAAGCACTCTTAACCGAGCCTTGACAACCCTGTCGCTTTTTTGGATACACACTTTTAATGTTGATCAACATTCCCGCTTTGTTACTTCTTTAGCCAAGAAAAAAAAAAATTAATGAAACAAAAATTACAAGTACACATACGAGGGTACCAATATTTCTCTAAAAGTGAGTCTTAACTCATTGAATGTTTGGCACTCCACTGTTGTAAGGATTTAATTGGTAAAATTGTTGAAATAAAGAAAAATGGAAGAAAGACATCCTCAACATCCCTGATTTGCTACTTCTTTATCCCAAAAAAGAAAAAGAAAAAAATACATTTAATGAAACAAGAATTACAATGCACAAGGGTACAAAAATTTCTCGAAAATTGAGTCTTACCCATTTAATGTTTGACATTCAATTGTTGTCAACAGGCTATCCGCTATAACACATAGAACCTTTGGATTAAATGAGGTTGGAAGGAAAACAAAACACACGACTTTTGGTGCTCATATATAGCCAAAGAAATTTGCTAATTGTAGAAGTTATATATATATATATATTCCAGAATTTCAAGCAAATTGTATAAAACAATAAAATGTAAAAAGTGGACAAGTCCACCGGATAAGATCTCTAAGTGAGAGACCAGGCCCAATTAGAAACCATCACTTATAAATGGGAATAGGATACAAAAAAAGCCCAAAACAAACCCAAGCCCAGTAACAATTCTCAAGCCGATCTCAAGTCAAGAGGCTTCCTTGGAGGATGGCTGGAGGAGGGGCAGAGACCCCAGCTGAGCAAAACACGATAAGATTGGGGTGAATCTTTCAAAAACCCACCCATGAGCCTCTCTATGATGGAGGAACAGATTTGGTCCAAAACATGGTTCAGGGAGGAGATCTTGCCTCTAAAAACACAAGCATTTCGTTTGATTTCCAGTGGTGGGATGACGCATTAAAAGACCTATCAATATAGAACTCATGATGTTGGCTGACTCAGTAGACTTAGTAATATGCTACATACAAATAATTTTCTGTTGTTCTTTTATCAACAAAATCATATAGAACCATCGCCCTGAAAGGTAGAGGAACATGTATATGGTCTATAGATGAAAGGGGTCAGAATTAGTTTGGTTTGGGAAGTGATCGATTGCTAGATTGTAGATACAAAAACTTTTCCGCACTAATGAAGTAATGCAACCCTAAGGTTACCTAGATTCAGATTATTAAGAACAATTTTTTGGGGTATAAATAAAAAATTGTGGAGAATATCGTGGAACGGCTCTTAATAGACACAAGACCAAATCTGAGATTATGTAAAATGCACCTCTAGCCTTGAAAGCTTCATGCTTTGATAGACTAAAAAAAAGGGATATAATAGAGGATGCAGAAAAGTACGTAAAAGTATGAAAGTAAAGAGTAGATTTCAATAATATTGTAATGAGAGCCTGGAATAGTCAGGACTATGCAAATGGCCACATAAGACACTTCCAAAACCCAACTGAAGTTACTGAACATACAGGAAGAAAGAGAGTAATGCAATATAAGATGAATAGAGGGAAGATGAAGAGTAGAGAGAGGCAGCAAAAACATTTGGAATTTTTCCAATCAACCCAACCATAGTTTTGGGAATGAGTAAGAAAAAGATAAGCCACGAGATCATCACCCTCGTTTTCCAAACCTCCAGTGCTAAGATCCTATGTAGGTAGAATCAATGCATCATATAACCAACCACACATAGGTGATCCTCAAATGCCACATAAAAAAGCTGATAATATAGTAGCATCAACCTCGGATATGAGAAACACCAAAAATGAGTGTTTGCTAGGTCGGGAGGAATGATAAGTGGATGGGAGAGAGATGAGTTGCTCAAGTATTCATGAATATAATTCTTAACAGCACACAAAAAGATTAAAATTTATACTTCAAAATATGTGAAGCAAGAATTTACCATCCCTAATGAGAAAAACATCAGCAAGGACAAACTTCTGTCTATGTCTCTTACCTTTTCCTTGGAAAAACTGTTAGACAGTGAGGGAGGTGGCATGCAGAGATCCTTTGAATAAGACCTCAATGTTAAACTCTCTTCTGTGTAAAACAAAACATAACAAAATCAGACTACTTTAAGGCCCCGTTTGGTTACATATAACTAAGCAAGAAAAGAAAAGAAATGAAAAATGAAAGAAAAGTGAAGTGAATGAAAAGAAAAGTTATTTTCTATCAAGCATTTGGTTAGCATGAAAATTTATTCAAGAAAATTGTATGAAAATATTAGTTTGTTAGTTTGGATAGCATGAAAATGAAAAGAAAGTGATTGTGCATACCAAAATTACCCTTATGATTTCAAATACTAAAAAAATAAATAAATTTGTGTTTGATGATATCTATTTTTATCAAAGTTTTAAAAAAAATGATGAATTATTAAAGTTAATAATATAATTATTTATATTCATTTATATTGTATAAAATAAAACAATACTTCAAGACTTCTTAGGTAGAACCATAGAAGTAAAACTAACTATTCATTTAAAAGGAATAAGGAGGCTTAAAAATAAAATAAAAAATAAAAAATTTGGGCTCATGGACTCATGGGCTTTCAACTAGAGAACACAAAAAAGCAAAACATATATTATTCTATGTATATATAATAGAGGGGTATATATATATATATATATATATATCAAATACAATGTATATATTTGGAACCCAAAAAAAAAAATCGTCCAAATAGTATTGCAAAAGAACATGTTTAGAGAGAACTTGCCTTTTAGAAGTCCACTAAAATAGAAATTGTTAGAAAACTTGCCTCTTTGAAACTCAGTAGAAAAGAAACTCAGTTAGAAAAGAAAGAAGTTAGTTGTTTTACATGATTCAGTTGTTGGAAAAAATAGGAACTTTAAATAAAAAGAAGCAGTTTTCAAGAGAAAATATTATTTCCTCGTGTTTTATGTGAGAAAAGTTTTGGGGGAAACTAGTCTAATGTGGGAAACTATATTTTCTATTACGATTCTTTTTCCATCTATCCAAACTCTAAAAAAATTTAAAAATTTTCTCTTTCCTTTCTTTTCTAGTTGATTCCATCTAATCAAACAAAGCCTAATGGATTTTTTCTGGAAAATTCCTTTGAAGCATGAGTCAGTTGAAGTGGAAATCAACCAATCACCTAATTCTTCCGTTGCCTCTTTGATACTTTCACTTTCACTATGGCATTTTAATGTCACGAAAAAATAAACATGCATTAGAATACTAGAGCTTATTCAAAATCAAATCACCTAAAGAAAGAGAGATAAGAAGATACAAAATTTTCACCGATCAACTGAACAAAGTAATTAGCTGCCAAACCAGTCAATGTCACTTAAATCAACATCTTTGTCGTTTATAACAAACCCGGCTCTCTCAAGCAGCGCCTTAATGTCGTTGACCACCTTTTCTTTTGGAATCTATAAGAAAACATTAAGGGAGTAACTTTGTGAAGTGTTGGGTCAAAACTTAAAACATGAGGAAACTGGTAGTAATACGAGTTGAAAGATGACCTCTTTCATTCAAAAGGAAAAACAACTAGCATTCACAACACCCCCGTGGTTTGCCTCTTTGACACCCAATTCTTTCATAGTGACACCTCCTCAGATTCGCTCCATTAGACAAAGACACTCCGTGAACGCTCCGGCACATGGTAAAATGACCTGAATGCCCTTTTACTTGTGAAGTGACACTTTGAATAGTTAAATTACCAATTAACCCATTCTAACTAATTTTAAATGTCCAAAATAACCTCTTCATCTCAACCACCTACCCACAATGCTGCCACCACCACCACCCACAGCCACCACCTCTTCTTTCTTCTCTTCCTTCTCTCTCTAAAACACATACATTGCAATCCTCTGCAACCACTACTCCATGGTCGAACCATCAAGGTCCAGACCACCCTCAATCACCCCAATTGAAGTCTTCGCCAATCAAGATGGCCCCATATAACCCCTTCACTGACAAAACAAATAACTAATGAACCAATGAAGGCAAGTCATGCAATTTCATTCCACCAAACACCTTCTGTAAAACCTCCCTATGCCTTCCCTTATCAAGAAACAAAAAGTTCTCTCCATAATGTTTATATTTATAAAAATTTCCTCCATTTATTGGGGGGAAAAAAAAAAACAACAAAAAACAAAAAACAAAAAAAACAAAAAAAAAAAAACAAAAGTTCTCTAAAAAATGACACCATCTTCACCATCAAAACCTTAAACCAATCACAACCAAAACATGAAAGAAACGAAAATTCTCCAAAAATTGACACCATCTTCACCATCAAAACCATAAACCAATCACAACCAAGCAACAATCACGAAACACGGCAGACGTGGCTCGCCAAAGCCTACATCCACAATGAAGTTCCGGTGAAAGCATTCACTATGCAAAAATCTGGTAGGTACAAGTTTCAACCCCCAAACCCTTTCTCTCGCTCTATTTTCTACGATTTTCAGTGTCTATCTATATCCCACTCCAAACCCTAAACGCCCATTATATATCGGGCTACAAGAGGGTACTAAACAAGGCGTAGTTGCGACCCTAGAACCAAACTCAGGCCACAACATCACTGATTCTAAGTAATTGAGTTGTCAATAGTGGTAAAGGCTAGGGATTCAGAGGTGTGTGGTAGTTGGGTGATTAGAGTGGTGGAGTATGGCGAAGGGAGTGATGGATGTGGGTGGTTGGAGTGGTGGAGGTGGACTATTGAAAAAGAGAGTGAGAGAGAGAGGAAGGGTGGAGGAGAGAGTGTCCCAATTGAAATGTGTAGAGAGGGATGGTGACAGCTGATTGTGGTGGTGGAGGAGAGAGAGACGTACTTGAGGTGTATAGGGGTGTTTTTGTCTGCCTCGGTTTCGAGGTCGAGCAAGGCTTCAATGGCGAACGAGTTGGACTCAACTGAGTTGGGGTTCGGGTTGGTATGTGATTGATGCGAAGCTTGTTTTAATGGTGGTAGTGGGGTGAAGGTTGCGGTGGTGAGTGGGGAGAGAGAAAAAGAAGGGGCAGGTGGTGGTGGGCGGCAATGGTGGGTGGTGTTGGAAATGGTCGGTGGTGGGGTAAGCTAAAAATGTGAGAAAAGCATTAAAAATGGGTCTTTTGGTTTTAGGGGCAAAGTAGTCTTTTGGTTTCTCTATTTTTTATAATAAAAGAGCATTAAAAAATTAGGGCAATTTAGACATTTCACACATTTTTAATGTGGAAAAGCTAACGGGAGGTGTGACTTTCAAAAACATTGCCAAGTTCTATCTGGGTGACAGAGGCAAACCACATGGGGGTCAGTGTAATTTTTAATAGGTATAAATATCATAACCAAATAAATTTCTACACAATTTTTGGAAGAAAAGAAAAAAAGTTTAAATCTATGCATGTTGCAAACAATATGAGAATTACAATAAATCGCAAGAAACAAGCACAAAAACCATAAAAAACACAGATCATAACAACTTACTTCACTTTGTACTAATTGCCTGTATTTTTCAAGAGCAACACCAGCCTTCTCAAACACTTTGAGCAACAATATTCCCCGCGTCATCGCTGCCTTAATATCGTTAAGCGACCGAACCAACTTACCAATCTTATTAATTCTGAGCAACTTGCTTTCATCTTGAGTTAGTCCTACAATCTCGTCAACCAACTTATCATTCTTGTGACTTCCGATCAATTTGAATTCATCTTCAGTTAGTCCTACAATCTCTTCAATGATGCTTTTGAGTATTGACATGCTCAAAGGGTTAACTTTTCTCGAGCAACCAACAGTAGAGTAGCCATCTCAATAAGTTCTCCCTCCATAGCATAATGAATAAATACTTTATCAACTTCCTTTGTGTTCCATGCCAGCAACCTATTAATTTCTAATGGTACTTTCTGCCACATTTAACCATAATAAGCAACAAACAGAAAGGAAAAAAAAAAAAAATAGATCAGACCACTCAACCCATTCAAATGTATAGAAAGTAAACATTATTTGTAATACACATAAATTTTGTCTAAACAAACCATTTGAGGCAGACAAAAGAACAACGATCAACTTGAAGATAGATTGTTTTGGGGTCCAATCAATCAAGGATCGATGATAACTGCATCAGCCACATTAAAAATACAATCAAGAAAAAGGGAAAAGAATTAGGTAGTTAAGAATGATGTATTAAACCTTGATCTAAGTTCATATTATAGGCCCCATGAAAGATATAAGAAAGAATAATTTTATATTATAAAATCTGTCTTCTACCTTACTGTTTCAAGTGATACGTTGAGAGGAAACAAGTCGCCCCTAAATTCACCCTCTATGGTTCTGCATCAGTCCGAGCTCCATGGCAAAGTAATGTCGCAATCATTTCATATGATAAACTATTAGCTGCTAAATGCAATGGATATAATCCATCGTTAAAGGGAATATTGAGATCAGCGATGAAACCAGTCTCCCCTCCGAGAAAAGCGATGGCACAATCTATTATGCCAAACTGACAAATTTGATACAAAATTATTGGTGGGCAATATTTACCTTGTTAATCAGATGATTCCTTCTTTCCAACTTCTTCTGTTTTTGGTACTTTTCTTTGAAATAGCTCATTCATAAAAGAGAGAAATAGAGGTTTGTCATCATAACAAACAATTTCTTCTTTAGATGAGCATATCCAACCTGTCATTATTTGAACAACACTAACATCAACACGCGAAGACGACCACAAAAAGATAATAGCGCATATCATTAAAATAAATGCACGAACAGTAATATAAGTAAGAAAAAGGGAGCCCCGATCCTCTGCTGTAATCTCCCTTGCTGTAGTGGTGCCATAGGGTTTTTCAACACAATTACACCTGTTTTCAACATATTACATATGCCCCAATTACAACAGAGGAGATTATAAGTGAGGATCCGAGTGCATGAAAAGGGAATGTGAATGTATTCAAGTTTAAGTAGACACCTCAGACATCCTTGCCCCAATTACAGTATCTGCTCTGAATTCTGACCTCCTTAAAAGGTACTCCAATATAAGAATAACCTTCAGAAGGAAAAAAAAAAAAAAAAAACATAATCGAAATAAACAACTAAATCACAATGG